TGGATCATCTTCTTATTGGTAATGGTGCTGCTTTACCTATTAAGCATGTTGGTCAATCTGTTTTGCCATCAATTTCCCGTCCTTTATTTTTAAATCGTGTCTTGCACGCTCCTGCTCTTACTAAACCACTCTTATCTGTTCAAAAGTTTGCCAAAGATAATCACTATTTTTTTGAATTCTATTCTGATTCCTGTTGTGTGAAGGATCTCTCCACCAAGAAACTGCTCCTCCAGGGTCGGGCTGACAATGGTCTCTACCGCTTGGACCAACCTGCTCGTGGTTCCTTATCTCCAGCCGCTTATCTTGTTTCTCTAGGTCAATGGCATGCTCTTTTAGGGCACCCTAATAATATTACTCTTCGTACCTTAGTTAGGCAGTTTTAGCTTCCCCATTCTTCTTTGTTCGCGTAGTCTGCTAAATGTGAGGCGTGGTGCTTAGGGAAGTTGCATCGAGCCAGTCTGTCTTCTATACTTCATCGTAGTGCTAAACCTCTTGATTTAATTCATACTGATGTTTGGGGATCTACCCCTCTCTTGTCTTTTAATGGCTATCGCTATTTTGTGCTTTTTGTTGATGATTTCTCGTTATTTACATGGCTCTATCCTATAAAAAATAAAAGTGATGTTCCTCATATCTCTAAGCAGTTTAAAACTTTAGTTCAAAAATAGTTTGGCACCACCATTAAAAGTGTCAATTCTGATTGGGGTGGTGAATTCCGTCCCTTGAATTCATTTTCAAAGATGTTGGTATTGTCCATCTCATTGCTTGTCCTCATACTCAAGAGCAAAATGGCACTGCTGAGAGAAAAATTCGTCACATTTTTGGGCCTTCTCTTCTTGGCCACTCTGGTACTCCATTTCGGTTTTGGGATTTTGCTTTTGAAACTGCCGTGTTCTTAATCAGCCGACATCCTAGTAAACCTCTTCATGGTCTAATCCCTTACACTATCCTTTATCATCAACCCCCCGACTACACCTTTCTTCGTATTTTTGGATGTGCGGTCTATCCCTTACTTCACCCATATAATCATCATAAATACTCTTTCCGTTCTACCCAGTGTGTCTTCCTTGGATATTCCCCTGCTCACCTTGGTTATCGTTGTTTCGACCCCACCACTAATCGTCTTTATGTTGCTCGTCATGTCCTTGAGCAACTTTTCCCTTTTAAACGTCCTCTTGTTAGTTCCCCTCCCCCTCCGCCATCATCTTCCCATGTCTGTTTACGAGTCACTAGTTCTCCCGGGTTGGTCGCAACATCTAACCCCGTTGTTCCTCCTTCTGCTTCACCGTCACCAACTTCTGACCCCTCAGCCCCCACTCCCATGTCTTCGTCACCTCCTACGAGTCCTTCATCACCTATGGCTTCCTCTTCTTCTGATTCCACTTCTTCTCCTGGTCTTAAGTTGGTTGTTGACTTAACTCAAGACCCTCCTGCGTCTGCACCTGCTCCTCTTCGTCAGCCACCCAATGCAACTTCGTCCTACCACCCTTAAAAAGACTAAGTTTTCTCATCTTACTCAGACATCACCTTCCTTTCCTACTCTTCCCCTTACCCCTACCTCATTCTCTCAAGCCAAATCTCTTCCTTAGTGGCAACTTGCTATGCAGGATGAGATCTCTGTTGTTCAAAACAATCATACATGGACTTTTGTTCCTCCTCCTTCATCTGGTAATGTTGTTGGGAATCGATGGCTTTATAAGATTAAAACCCATGCTAATGATTCTATTGAGCGCTATAAGGCGCGGTTGGTAGCTTGAGGTTTCACTCAGTCCATTGGTGTTGACTATACTGATACCTTTAGTCCTGTTGTTAAGCCAGTCACTATTCATACTATTCTTACTGTTGCTTTATCTTGTGGATGGTTGGTTAGGCAGCTTTATGTTAGCAACGCCTTCCTTAATGGTGTTTTACATGAGACTGTATATATGGTTCAACCACAGGGTTTCATATATCCTTTGCGCCCTCATTATGTCTGTAAGCTCCATAAGTCTTTATATGGTCTCAAGCAGGCTCATCGGGCTTTGTACTCTCGCTTGGCTGCTTTTCTACTGAGCATGGGTTTCTCGGAGTCTCATTGTGATTCGTCTTTATTCCTTTATTGGCGCGGCCCTCATTTATGCTTTCTTTTAGTTTATGTGGATGATATTATTCTTACTGGCAACTCCTCTGCTTTTATTCAGCATGTTACTTCTTCTATTACTAAGGAGTTTTCTATTCGGGATTTGGGTCCTCTTAGTTACTTTCTTGCTGTTAAAGTAACTCGTACTCCGTGGGGTCTTATCTTGTCTCAGCGCAAGTATTTGGCTGATTTGCTTCGCGCTGCTAACATGAGTACTTGCAAGCCCATTTCCACTCCTATGCAGTTTGGTGTTATGTTGTCTCGTTTGGATGGCACGTTGCTCTCTCCTAAGGAATCTACCACTTACCACCGTCTCTGTGGTAGCCTTCAATACACTACTCTAACTCTGCCAATATGTTTTGTGGTCAATAAACTCTGCCAATTTATGCATCAGCCTCGCACAGGTCACTTTCAGGCTCTCAAACAGGTTCTTCGATATCTTCGTGGCACCCTTGATCTTGGTCTTGTTCTTCATCCCACAGACTTTGGTTCTATTGTTGCCTTCAGTGATGCTGATTAGGTTGGTTGTCCTGACAACCGTCGTTCCACTACTGGCTTTCTGGTTTACTTGGGTCCTAATCTACTTGCCTAGACTTCTCGAAAACAGCCCACTGTTGCTCAGTCGTCCACTGAGGCTGAGTTTCGTGTCATTGCCAATGTTTGTGTGGAGCTGCACTGGGTGTGTCATTTTTTGTCAGAGTTGGGTGTCTCTTTACGCTGCTCTCCCTCTGTTTGGTGTGATAACCGTAGTGCCATTTTTCTTGCTGCCAATCTGATTTTTCATGCACGTACACCACATGTTGAGGTGGATTTTCACTTTTTCCGTGATCATGTTCGTTGGAAGTTTGTTTCGATTCACTCCTTGTCTGCTGCTGATCAGGTTACTGACATTCTTACCAAGCCTTTATCAAAGGATTTATTTCTTCATTTTCGATACAAACTTTGGCTTCTTGCTTCTTCGCCCTCAGTTTGAGAGGACGTATTGTAGTAAATATGTATTTACCATAGTAAGTGTGTATTAGGGTGTATCTTATGTATATATATACCGTGTACGTGTGTATGAATTAATCAATGAAGACTTTTTCTATATTCCTAACTATTTAAGATGATGCACATCATGATCAAATTGGCAAAAATCTTGATATAATGAACCTAAAACGCTAACTCGAATGGCAAGATCTACTAACTATTTTCATATTAATACCTCTAACTAGCCAATCCTCTCTATGCGGTGAATATATCGGCTTAAAAAATTTCTCCATGACACTGCTCCGGTTCATAATGCGTCACTATTGCACTCCGTGAAGTAAATTTGCTAGTACCTATTATATATCTATAAATTTTTTAGAGAAAGAAAGTTAAAGGGCAGAACAACATGAATAAATTATGTTGCTCATCTAAAACTGCTAGGACTCGTATCTTCCTTTTCAATAAATAGTGCCAAAATGGATGATGAATCGTTTGTGATTCCAAAGGTCACAAAAAGAAGAAGAAAGGCCAAAAAAAAAAATCTGAAATGCATGATTAGTACGTAACTGCCCTCAATCTAATTATCTCATCATTAATAATTCATATGAAGATTAGATAGTGGAAGAAGATGGAAAGTGTAAAATAAATATGAACATTAATTTCATAAGAAATAATTATTAATAAAGTAATAGGTTTGAAATGGAGGAGGTCAGTTGATATTCTTCCTTTCGGTTACTATTGAGGGGAGTAACTAAAGACAATAAAAATAGATTTGAATGCTAATAAAGTCACCTTATCCTCCAGTATTAGATATTGATCAAAACAACAGGTTTTAAACTACCAAAGTTTGAGAGAAATTGGGTGCTTATATATATTGTTTCTTGAAAAAAAAAATTTTAAAAAAAAGACAAACAAAAAAAATGAATTCCGAAAAATTAGGCAGGTTGGTATTATGAAATTATATATATTTTACTCGGAAAAACTAAAAAATGTTAGCAATTTTGACCCTCATAATTAGCAATTGATGTAGTAAATTCATTATTATGAAGAAAAAAAATTAGCTGCATGCATAAATTGAGAGAAAGTGGGGTAGATAGAAGGATTAAGAAGAAGAAAAATAAAAAATAAAAAATAAATATTAAATATTTAAAATACATAAATAACCTTTCACGCACGTAAGAAAGATACTATCAAAGTCTCACATTTGAGAAGGGAGAAACTCCCTAATGAAAACCTTACGTAATTAAATAAACTCTTTTTTTCCACTGACCGCACTACCAACCAAAATCCAACCCGTCAGTTGGCGGCCAATTATTAGCTCCATGAATCGTTCAACCCACGACCTTTTGACCCACTCATACGGGTCATAAGAATGGACAGGTTGGGTCAACCCGTGGGTCACGGATTAGTTTTGACAAGAATGAGCAATAGGAGACATTGTCGTATTTGTTACTCGAATCAACATTCATATAAATCAATGGGGGAAGTGTGAATTGAGCTTGACAGAATGCGGTCCATGCTGGACATTGCAAAGTAGCAAAAAATGAAAAACGAAAGTGGAACTTTCGAAACAATATTTATAGAATGGAAACTTCAAACAACATGATATGATAGTGATGGTATCCCATTGAGTATCAATATCCCTATGTACGCCCTGCGAGCATAACTAAATACAAAGTGAATCTTTCAACCTCTTCGCTTCTACCGTGTCGCAGTCGCACAAGTTCTCCAATCCAATTTGAGGAATTTGTCAGTGCTTGTAGAAAGGATCGATGCCCTTGAGCTGTTGGAGAGTTGCCGCCGCCGTCAAAAGGACGGCCGGCCATGGAGGACCGTTGAGGAGCAGAGTGCCGTTAGAGAGAATTGGGAAAGTAAGGGAGAGAATTTTACTGGTCTGCACAAGGTAGCAAACTTGACAAATGATCGGCGACTTTGACAGAGCTGTGTATTTTGTGAGTTACGAGAATTCGATTCGGAAATCCTAAAGAAGAAGCTAAAACTTTTATTCTTGAAAAGCTGGCAATGATTCTTGAAAAGATCCTCCTTTGGTCCAGTATCTCCGGCAGCCTTTACAGAAGTATCTAGGCTGTGACAAGCTGTAATTGTTGTAGTAACAAAATTTGGTGTTGGAAGAAGCACACCTTGGACAATTTGGTACTATTTCAACATTATTTTTGTTGGGTTTCCATATTCTCCTTTCCATCATCATCAATTGATGATGATCCTTGAAGGGGATTCAAACATTGTATTGTCACAATTAATTGTGCTAGTGAACATTGATATTGATTTGGAGAAAGCTCTAATTTTTTTTTCCAAGTGATATGAAGATACTTATTGTATCTCTAGGGGGAGAGTGTGACGTTGACTTAGGAGAAATGGGGAATTTTATGGGGAATATTAAGTAAACTTTTCTGGTTTCGTACTAGTACTTAAATGCAATGCCACCAGTAGGTCTAACTTGAGCTTATTAATGAGTGTAGTTAGAGAAGTAGCTGCTTATTCTTGGTTAGGTTACAGAAAGAAATACTCCATATTGATGTTTAACTTGCAGTTGGATTGTCTGGTGCTCATCACACTATTGGAGGATGGAAGTATGCCGGCTAGCGGTTTATAGTTTCTTCATTTTGCTAGCAAATTTCTAATGCAGAGGCGAACACATGGCTTTCTTGCTTTATCATTTTAGCTTCATATCTTTCACACCATTCATTTAGTAAATCAGAAATTTTTGTTAATCTTTCGATTAAAAAAAAAAAAAGAAATTTTTGTTAATCTTGCAACAAAGATGAGCCACTTGGAACATAAAGAGTAATATATGAGAGTTGATTATTTTAGAGGGAAATATGAGAAAGGGAATACGTAAAAGGGAGTTATATATGCCGGAGATCAGGGAGAGACATGAAGAATTAGAGAGAAAGATAAGTTTGACTTTATCAGGGGCAATTTTGGGAGCTTTGTCCTGGATGCCGATATTTGTCCTGACAAAATCACTACACAACTATAAAACTATAAACAATGATAATTTTGTAGTTTATATCATTGTTTATAAACAATTTTTGCTTCATAAAGACAAACAACTGCCCGAAAAAAGCAAAAATGGAAACACAAACTTGGTAACAATAATCACGGAATGGAAATTTTAAGCACCCCCTTTGTAAATTTGTAATACTATCTAACAACACAACTAAACATGATGAAGTGGTTCTTCACGGGACCACGTCGCAATCTCAGAGGTTCGCCATTCCAAGTAGAAGCTAATGAATACCGCAGAACGGTTGTTAGTTTTCTCGGGATATTCCTCTAATTGCTCCAGAAATTCCCGACAGTCCGATGGCAGATGGAGTTGAAAACCTTGTGGATGTTTGACGCAGTGAGCGCATTCCCGATCAATATCTCCAACAATTGGAAAGATTTCAATGCCTTTTACATTCCACAGCTTATCAAGATGAACAAGACTTGAATTCTCCAGCACGGGAACACTTTTCGATATCAATACATCATGGAAGTACAGCGGGTATCTGGCATCGGGCACGAACCCATATCCAAATGTGATGGTTTGAGGACGACAAATCCGCAAAACACCTTGCAGAATGGTATAGACAGAGCCTGGAGAAAACTCCTGAGGATTTTTAAGTATTAAAATTTCTTTTACATTCGGGAGAACTTCAGGGTAGGATGCAGTGTTGGCATCCTTCATACCCGAAACCAGATCGGATTCGGAGCCATGCTTTGGGAACAAAAGAGTAATGCAAGTTTCAGACCCTTCGCATGATTTTATCAATTCCTTCAATTTCAGAAACCATGACTGACCCGCAAACTCCTTACATTCTAATTCGATGTGAGATATCCATCCAGGTGGAACTCCTGAGAACGAAAACTTGGGTGTAAAGATATTTTCCACCTTGTGGTAACTGTAGTTTTGGTAGTCGAAAAGGGCAATACTGGGCACATTAAAATGAGCTTCTTCCAATGACTTTAGCCTCTCGAGATATATTTTCTTTAGCGAAGAACTCGATACATTGATTCTTTGAATGTTCGGGAAGTCTCGGATTGTTAACTCTTCCAGTTACGGGAATTTACGATTCCAATTGAAACAAAAGTCGCCCTGTTGATTTTCATCAATTGCCAAATCAACAGATCTTAGGTATAAACGCTTGAGATTGCCGTATTCAGATCCTCGGAAATTAATGGAACTACTTTCGTCGCCGAAACAGGCTACAGATTCCAAATTTGGGGCTGCGTTCACTTCAACCGTTCGATCATCACTCAACTCACCAACGATCAGTTCCATGAGATTGTGAAGGTTCCTGATCTTGAAAATTGAGCTCAGGGGCCCTTTCAAATGGCAGCCTTTAATTTTCAGGACTTCAATTAAAGGGCTTCCGCTGGTTATGTCCTCAAATGTCCCCTTGTCGAAATGTATTTCTTCCAGAGATAGTCGTTTGAGATTAGGCAACATTATTCTCGGTGTTTCTTGCCGCTTCAAGATGAAACATTGTAAACTTAATTGCACCAACGTTTTAACCCCGAAAACTGATAGAGGCAGGACATGAGTCACATGCCAGTCAATCATGGATAGTTTGAGTTTTTTCAAACCATGTTTGGTGGCTAACTCTATACATTGATCATAAACATCCGAATGATCCCACCCATCAACTTTCACAACTTTCAATGTGAAGGCCTCTAGACCAATCCTTTCCATGTCGTACCTATTGAAAGTAGACAATATATGATTAACCTCTTCAATGTCGGGTCTCCGACGATATTGAAAATCAAATCCCAAATCAGGGCGTGTTTGTACGGCGCTTAACAACTGTTTTGATACTAAACTTAATCGAACCGCTTGTTGGGGTTTGAGATAAGAAATTATGTGATGAATTATGTGTTCCGGCAACTCTGGAAGGTTTGCCATGGCCGCCGTATTGACAGGGTGGAGAATTCCGGTTTTTCGTTTTTCTTTGTCTTTTTTCTGTTTGAAAAAGGGGTAAAAGAAGAATTATAAAGGTAGTAATCTATTCGCTGCTAATTTATTTATAGCTAAGGGTGGAAAAGAGTTGTTCTTTAATAAGGAAAAGTTTTCGCATATTTCATACCTATTCTAAATGGGAAAAGATCTTTCTTTTATTCTTTTTTCCGGTTTCGATAATTATATACAATTATTATTATTAAGAAAATAAAAATTGCCCTTTGGGAACCAGGTTGTGGTTTAGTAGTGTACATATAGCTCTGTGTTACACAATCTTACATACATATTGCGTCCGCTAATGCGCTATCTAAAATACAGTACAATCTTGCTCCGTACTGGAGGTTCTACATATGATTTCAAACATGCATTTATTATTTTGTTTCTTGGTTGATCAAAAATGTATTTATCTATTAGTCAAATCGTACTATTTTTAATAGAGTGAGGGTACATGTTACTTCATGGATTTAATATTTATTTCGTTTGCAATACAACCATTTGGGATGGCACTTCCTGTGATCCTCTAATTTGGACTTTTGTTTTTAGCAAAAAAGTAAAAAAAAAAAAATCGAGATAGAAAATCATTTTTGAATGAAGAAGTTAATTCTTGGTAAGTGATACAACCATGTTTCCTTCAACAAAGAGTGGGGAAAAATATATATCAACTGATCTGTTTCATCAAAACAAAGTTTAGATTCACCGCAACAGAACCATCAATGTCAATCTTGTAGTCAAGAATTCGAATGAATCATTAACCGTCTACGAGATCAAGCATGGGTTGCAGCAAGTACAAACATCTAGATGATCCATCTCAGCGGGAAGATTCTTCAGCCGCTACAGATATTGATGCAGATCATATGGTTATGAAGTCGGTGATTCAACTGATGTTAATATATTGTAAATTTGTGTATATAGCTAACGTGGAATTTAGAGTAGTTTCCTGTAAATAAGATACTTGTAAATTCTAGCTGGAAATTAGTTGTACATAAGTCGGTTTAGAGCAGAATTAGTTGTATATAAATGCTAATGATTGTAAAGCTTCTAAGTTAAGAAATTCAGTTTAATCAAAAATCATTTTTTCCCAAATTGATTCTGAGTAACCGCCTTCTGCTTTCTGCTTTCTTCTTGTTTCGTACATGGCAAACCCTTAGGTGCTTTTCATGGTATCAGAGCCACAAAGGCTCGACTCCAGAATTACAACCGTAGATTAAATCTTCTATACTACAGATTGATTTCTACCGTCTCAGATTTCTGTTTGATTTCAAGAAATGAACAAGTTTGAGTATTCTGCGGCTCAGAGGCAAGCTGAGCAACAGAGAATTCGAGAAGCTACTCTCACCTTGCATTCTTTTGAACATCCTAGACTTGTTCTGGTTTCTGTGGCTCTGGATGAGCATAATTATCTGGTTTGTAGTAGGTCAATGCATACGGCATTGGAATTAAAGATGAAGATTCTGTTCATCGACGGCAGTTGTCCGGAGCCGCCGATTGATTCACTGCTACATGTGAGATGGAAGCAGGTGGATTCTACAGTGATGTCATGGATTATGGCATCACTTTCAAGAGAAATTGCTGATACCTACATGTATGCACTGTCTGCAAAGCAACCCTGGGAGGATCTGGCAGAGCAATACGGGACTTCCAATTGCAACAAGCTGTACAACATGAGGAAGGAGCGAGTTGTTGTTCAACAAGGCGATAATTCACTTGTAAAGTACTACAACTCACTCCGTATGATCACTATCGCCCTTTGTCGGCTTGTACTGCTGATGTTGCTACAATTTTACAGATTAGAGATCAAAAAAGATAAGCTCACTGATTTTCTGATGGGACTGAATAAGTCTTATGAGGCGATTAAGGATCAAATTCTGTTGATTGATCCTCCTCCAACTATAAATCAAGCATATGCTACGGTGCAAAGAGTAGAGAAACAACTAAAGCCTAATATTGGTGGTATTCTGAATTCAGAGAACAGTGCATTTGTTGCCAACAATGCTGGAATTTTTGGCTTGCAGGGAAACGTGTCTTCTACCAAAGGTTTTACTCCAATGCCTATAGCAGGAACTTCTAGTGGATTTGAATATAACTGTTTTCAAAAGAATTTGTCTAATATTCATCAATTTAATAAAACGAAATAAAGATAAAATAAAATTCATTTACTAGGTAGAAAAAGAAAAATGGAATTATAGGAGAAAGAAAAACTTGGAATATCCACGGGATATTCAACCATACCTAGTGTACTTTTACTAATACTATCCTAAATGTAAATCTCCAAGAACCACAAGTACAATGTGTATCTTACCTGCTCAAACGGCTACTACTCGCTGATGACAACGTTTCAATCTTTTTTTGCTTCCTCAGGATCATGTATAACCTCACATTAATTTCTTTCTCCATTCCAAATTGAAACTGATAGCTATATCTTCACTCTTCTGACTCTTCTCATAGAAAGCTTTCAATTGCTCCATAAATTCCCCGCAGTCCGGCAATGGTTGATACATCTGCAAAACTCGTTCTTTGTTAGAGTACTGGATTTTTTCCCTATCCTTATTAATTTTGAAAATCTCAATATCTGTCACGTTCCACAACTCGACAAGCCTGAGATTTGAATGGCCCGGATGATGATTATTAACATTTTCCACCACAAGCATTTCGTACAATAGTTTGTGGTACTTGTAATCTGTCCAACACATTTTGGACAATAGCTTCTGATCCTTGTAACCTGTCCAACAGAATGTAATGGTTCGAGGGCAACAAATCAAGAAAATACCTAAGGAATACCTATTACCATGAAAAGGGTCCCTCGCGGATATGAAAACTTCTCGGATATCTGGGACATCGCGACCTATAGGAAACGCCATTGGAATATCCGCCACACCACTTGTGAAACTAAGAAAGATGGAAGTGTCGGACCCTTTGAGTGATGTCAGGAATTCCTTCAACTTTACCCAGCACGAACTACCCATGTAATGGTTGCATTCGAAATCGATCCGAGAGATCCATCTGCCCGAGCCAACTGTAAATGATAACTTGGGCATAACATCGAAGCTGCTGTTGATGCGGTTTTCATAACTGAAGAGAGCAATGTTGGGCACATCAAAATGTGCCACTTGCAATCGGGGGATACTTATCAGTTGTAATTTCTTCAATGACCGACTTGATATATTGATACTTTCCAACTTGGTGTAACCTTGGATTGATAACTCTTCAAGTTGCGGAAATCTTTGTGTCCAATGGACGGAATACTTTGAAAAGTTGCCTTCGAATCCTGCGTTAAACAGCTTCAAAATTCTAACACTTCGGTATTCTGAGCTGAGAAATCTGAGTTGGTCATAACTAGAGTGCCCAGAGAAGTTTATACAATCTACAAACTCCAAATTCGGAGCTGCTTTTACTTCAACGCGTTGCCAATAAGATAACCCAGCTTTAAGTTGCTTTAGGTTGTGAAGATTAGTAATCTTGAAACTAAATGATTCGGAGGGATGTGTATTTTGGCAGCATTCATCAATCTCAAAGATTTCAATTAAAGGGCAGCCCTTGATCATAATCGCGAACGTCCTCTCATCAAAAGATATCTTTCGAAGAGATAGCCGTTTCAGATTAGGCCACATTATTCTCTCTTTATGCTGTGAAGTACACAAGTTTAGTTGAACCAAGGAAAAACCTTTACAAACTGATGATGAAGGTAAGGCACTGAAGTTATGTAAATTGAGATTAGGACCCATTATTCGGTTTGGCTGACGAAGAGAACAACAATGTAAGCTAAGTTGCACCAATGTTTTCCCTTCCAAAATCGATAGAGGCAACACCCAGAAGTGCTGCAAATTTAGGTTTTTGAGGCTCTTACTTGTGGCTAATCCAATACATTGATAATGAAGATCTGCTCGTCGATTTTGCCTCTGAAAATTTGGATTAGCCATCAATGTAAAGGTCTCTAAACAAATATCTTCCTTGTGGTATCTAACCAAAGTGGACACTACATAATCAAGCACTTTTTTGCATCTTTCCGCTATATCACAAATTAGAGGCCTCTGCCCAAGATCAAAAACCAAAGCTCGATTCGTGCGCGCTGCTCTTAAAAACTGCTTCGACAAGATACTTAATGAAATTGCTTCTTTAGCTGTGAGATAAGAAACTATTTCACAAATAATGTCTTCCGGCAGTTCGCATAGGTTTACCATGGCTGATACTTCTGAATACCAATGTACCTTAAAAAAAAAAAAAAGAAAAAGCAGGGGAACTATATACCCTAAAGATCGGATTCTTTATAGCTAAATAGTTTGGCGAGTGTAAAATAATAGGCCTCCAACCAAACCTAGCCCACGTTTTAGAGGCGGCCCAAGAAGCTTTCTTTCCTATCAAGAATGTTTCATAAACAGGTAACCCTATCACTATAAATAGAGAACAAACCCCAATTTTATAATCTTTTACGAATACTCTTACCAACTTAAGTTTGGGAGAACCCACCCCGAAGCTTGTTTTGATTTTAGGGTTTAATGCCGCCATTACCTTTGAAAATTAGGAATATTAATTCGAAAATCAGGAAACCTTTTTCCTTGATGATACCGATTCCAAGTTGGAAAACTTCTTTGCCGTTTGGTTTTGGATGGTTTATATAAGGAAAGTTTTGGGAAAACAGAAAGAAAAAGAACCCTAATAAATCCATGATCTAAGGATTCCGGAAATCAGTCAACAAAGGGAAACAATGGTTAACTTATTAGAATTGCCAGAAGGTGTTCTTCATCATATACTTTCTTACTTCACACCCAAAGAAGCAATTCGAGCAAGTATCTTATCAAAGAAAAAGAAGCAATTCGAGCAAGTATCTTATCAAAGAAGCTGCTAAGCACCGCAAGTACGCGTTCCGCCTTGGTTTTTGATGAATATCAAAAAAGTTCATACGATGTGGATAAAGAACTTGATTATATTTTATCTACTTTGGTTAGGTATCATGGGGAAAATATTGGTCTAGACACCTTCACATTGAAGTTCACGCAGATTTTTAGTGAACAATATAGGAGTCCTTACCAACAATATATCGAATTAGCCGCAAGGAAAGGTCTCAGAAACCTTAATCTATCAATGGGCCATAAAATCAACTCCAATGTCTTATCTTTCTGTTTTTAGAGTTACAACTTTGGTAGAATTAAGTTTAGCCCATTGTCTTTTGGAGCCGCAAGGGAGAACGATAATGTGGCCTAATCTCAAGCGGCTATCTCTTGGTGATGTATCTTTCGATGAGGGGACATTTGAGAATATGATCAGGGGATGCCCTTTGATTGAAATCATCAAAATTGATAATTGTTGCCGTTTGTTGGCTCCCAAAAATTTTTGTTTCAAGATCACCAATCTTTACTATCTTGAGCAACTGGATGCGCTGTTGAACTCGGCAAACTGTTGAAGTGAATGATGCACCAAACTTGAGATTCGTATCTTGTACAGGCACAAAATCGGGACACGAGACGGATTGTTGGATTTCTTTTGGTGCATCTGAGTACCGGAATCTGAAAATTTTGTCCCTGAACTATAATCTGGGATTCAATGACAAGTTTTCTGTTGATTGGAGCTTTAAATTCCCACAACTAGAAGATTTATCATTCCAAAGATACAGTACCTTGCAAAGAATCGATATATCGAGTTCATCGCTGAAGAAAATACAGCTCATAAACATTGAAGGATTGGAAGAGGGTCACTTTGATGTGCCAAACATGGCCTGTTTCGAGTACGAGAACCACAGTTCCGAAAAAAGTAAATTTACACCCAAGTTATCTTTCGCAAGTGCCTCGTATAGATGGACGTCTCACATCAAATTACAATGCTTGGGCAATCTAGACACTTTGTGGTTGGAAGAATTTAGGGAATTCTTAACAGCATTCGCGGGGTCTGAAACGTTCGTTACTGTTATCTCCAATATGGTATGGCTAACAGCTCCTGTCGAATCATTTCCAAGAGATCTCCCAGAGATTCGGGGTCTTGTTGTACAGAATCAAGGGAGAACATTGTTTTCATGTTGCGCTCGTTCAGTTCTTCTGGGCATTTTTTTGCTTTGCCGGCCTCGAACCATCACATTCCAATGTTGGTTCGACGTTAATGACCTTAAACTACTTTATGATATACTGATACTGAAAAGGGATCATTGGCTAGGCAATTCAAGTTTTGTTCAGCTTGCTAAGTTGTGGGATGTCACATGTATTGAGATTTTTCAACATACTGAAGCTAATGCGGGCATAGGTAATCGCTCTTGCTACTCCATAAGAGGCCAAAGTTTGCAAATGCTCCACAAGATGAATTTCTGAAGCTGAAAAACGCATATTCGGAGCCACTTTGTAACGAGGTTATTATCAGTTTCAACTTGGAATGGAGGTCTTGTGAGGCTGTGTCATCATGGACCCGCGACGAAGCGAGAAGATTGAAATGTTCACCTCAATTTTAGTTGTATTCTGCTTTTTAGTGTATATGCGAATGGCTCCTTGGTATAGGTTATATTTTCTCACCAATTTCGGCTTCTAGTTTTACATTGATTGCTTCTTATGTTATTTCTTGGCATAGTTTTGATGGCGAAAACGTTAATGGGATATGATCTATTACAACGCATCTTGCTATTTGTTAGATTATGGATTTCATTGACATCGTTCCTGCTAACTGAAATTTCGCAATCACAAAACCCATTCACTACAAAACCATCATTATATACCAAACAAAAAGCTTACTAAAGCGACTTATTGTTTTTATACTTGTTGAGAGCAAATAAGAACCAGACAGAATCCAAAGCAAGTTAAAGTATGAATAAATCGCTGAAGTAGAAAACACTTTTATAATAATTATATATAAAAACTAAATTGACAAATTCTCTATCAAAAGGCCAGGTGTTCTCCCTGCGAACTTCCTCTACTTCCTCGGGAGTGAAATCATTCTTGATGCTGAAAGTCATTGAAATTTCCTCAGAAGACTTGCCCTTGATCATATCTGCCACTGTTTCACATGTTACATCCAGCAATTCCCTAATGTTTAGGTAATTTGCTGCCAAGATGAGGTCAAACAGAGTCCCCTGTTCTACCTTCACAAATATTTCTTCATTGTAAGTTGAAACTAATATATCCTCGAATGTAGGCTAGAATTCCTTCAATTTTACCAACCAAGAAGTATCCAAATTGTCAATCCATTCTAATTTAATGCCAGAAATCCATCTGCACGAGGAACATTTACATGTTGCAACCTTTTGTAATTCTGGCATAACATCACCTTTAATTGTTATTGTTGGAAAGATAGTTTTCGTTGTCAACCACCGCAATGTGAATTGTTATTTATCACGTCGAATTGGCTGCTTTTTTCTTACGCAAATTAGGTCTATCATATCACAATACAAAGGATTTGATCCGCCATGGGAAGCCTATCAAATCTGCCGGAAGAAATTATTCATCAGTACTCCCTCTGTTCTAAAATTATTGTCCCGTTTGAGATTTTATTTTTAGTACAATTTGAACTAAAAATGAAAACTCAAACTGGATAATAATTATGGGATGGAGGGAGTATCTCAAATCCAAAGGAGCAATTCGATTAAGTATCTTATCGAAGCAGTTGTTGAGCGCCGTGCACACGTGCCCTAGTTTGGATTTCGATTTGCGACCCTGTTCAAGAGAGGATAAGAGTAAAAAATGAGAACGTGAGTATATGGTATCCACTTTGGAAAGGTACCAAAACCAAAATATTGGTTTAGAGAGCTTCAAATTGCGGTGCTCTCGGGATTCAATTTCAGATGTTTATGACCAATGCATTGAATTAGCCATTAAACAAGTTTTGAAAAGCCTTAACCTGTCCATGACTTTCCATGCCTTGCCTTTATCTGTTTCTCAAGTTACAACGTTGGAGGAGTTATGTCTAAAGGGCTGTAACTTGCTTCCATGGCCGGATAGATTCACAATAACGTGGCCTAGCCTCAAAAGGCTATCTCTTGCCGAAATACATTTGTCCGGGAGGACATTCGAGAGTATAATCAAGGGCTGCCCTTTCATTGAAATCCTGGAGATTGATGATTGCCATGCCGGAGAGTTTGACAACAAATTAAACTTCAAGGTTACCAATCTTCACAAGCTTAGGGAAATTGATGTTAGATTACATTACCATCAAACTGTTGAAGTGGATGAAGCACCGAATTTGGAATCTCTAGCTTGTAAATTCTACTACGGGGGATATACAACTGCTTCTGAACGGCTAAATTTTCGTAAATTCAGTATACCAAAATGTCAAAAGTTTGTTCCTCGATCATTGGTCGGGAGACTGTTTTTTCATGGACTACTGGACTCGAAAATTCCCACAACTTGAAGAGTTGTCGATCAAAGGTTTCAGAAAATTAACAACAATCAATATCGCGAGCCGGTCACTGAAGAAAATACATCTGGACCTCCGCAATTTGCAAGAGGCTTATTTCCATGTGCCTTGCATCGCGGTTTTTGATTACAGAATTCCATTTCACCGCGAAAACTTGACGATCCTTAAGGTATCATTCAATGGAGTCGCACTCAAATGGATCTCTCGTATCAGATTTGCATACTCACCGGGCACCACTAGTTATGATTGGTGGTTTGTTCAGCTTAAGGGATTTCTAACAGCACTCAAAGGCTCTGAAATTTCAATCACCATTGACTTCCCAATGAATACGGTATTCCATTTAGTGGATGCTCAACTAATAATGCAAACCGAGTCAGCTTTGTCTACTATTGAATTGCTGTGGAAAGAGTCAGCTTTACCACCTGATAGTGCATTTTTGCTGGGTGTTTTGTGGATTTGTCGCCCTCGAAGCATCAGATGCGAATATGAGGAGGGGCACGAGGAATTCTCGAGGCCATTTTATGATATACTGATATGGAAAAGTTATGATGCGGACACTTCGTTTTCAACGCTTACTGAGTTGTGGAAAGTGACAGAAATTGAGATCCTCCACTACTCCGAAAGAGAAGGAGGGTTGCAGATATGTCCACCATTTCCGAAATTCCAGAAATTTTGGAGAAAATTGAAGGCTTACGTGAAGGAGAGTAAGAAAAATATGACCAACGTAACTATTAGTTTCAACTTGGAATGGATAGAGAACTAAAGAGTTGTGTCAAAAACCATAAGAGCATAGAGATCGGGGAAGAAAAATGCACCTAGCTAGTTTGTTTTCGTGACCTTATTGTAGACAATAGTACAAATCTATTAAAAAAATTTGCAACTAGTCAGCTTGTTTTCATGACTTAAATGTAGACAATAGCTATTCAAGTGTTAAGTCGTGGAACGTCACAAGTTTTGTTCAGTTTTGTTCCCTTTATTATATACAAATATCTCTACCTACACAAATGTAACTGAAATATACAAATAGAAAATTTCGAATGAATGGAGGAATTTGGTACTCCTGCAAATCTGCTTTGACTGGCTATATTTACCCCTTGATTTCCTCCAGTAAACTGATGCCATTGTTTTCGCTTCGATTGATCATTACTGTCATTAATCTCCTCTCTTGATATTCTCTTATTTCCTTCACTTTTTCGGCACACTAGGAGTATCTTTAATCATAAACTCATAAACCACAAAAATAGAAAAGAGAGAGTGATCCAGACCCACAAATGGAATTTATAAATATAAACCGGAGACCCCCCCAAAACAAAAAAAAAAAACAAAAAAACAAAAATAAAAAAAAAAACCTGACATGTGGGCTTGAATAGAAGTCATAAACGGCCATAAATTTACCATTGTGATGCCCTAAAACAAATTGATTGAGGGTGTTAGTCATCTAAAAACGAGGACCCCGTTTGCAAATATCTCCACATCATGAATTTCTGAAGCTTTTTTTTCTTTTTTGGGAAAGTTTGAATATGTTATATTTAAATTCCTATTGATAACCATATTTAAATTTTATTGGATGTTCAAAACTGGACGAATTTCTGAAGCTAAAAAATGCATACTTGGATCAACTTAATGAGTCAATTATTTACATATATTTTTATATAGCTTTCTTAAGACTTTGTTATATTTTTATGTGCTTTAAAGAATATTTACTTAATAAGATAATTGTTTTGCAGGATTAAAAAGATTGAAAATAATTGGAATGAAAAGTAGACGAAAATGGACTTAATTGAGGAAGAAAAATAAACTCAAGGGCTGAAGTGAATATTGAGAGAATTGGCAAGGAATGAAAGCTAGAGCTGAAGGGTTGAAGGATCAAAAGTGCAATTCCAGCTCTTAAGTCCAAGTTTGGCCGAGAAGAAGAGAGGGAAGTTGGGTGTCATGACCGGCAATTCTAATTACTATATTAGGGTTAAGATAAATTATTTTTACTGTTTTCGTTTTTATTCTTTTATTAGTCTGATGTAAGCATTCCTGTCATGTACGTTTCTTGAGCAAGAAGCTGCCAGAATCAACAGCTGTCGCTCAAGCTCTTTCCTAGCAATTTTCTTGTAATCATGGTTAGGATGATTAGTCAGGTTAGTTATTAAAATGAGGATTGAGGGGGATGTTATCAGAAAGATTAAGCAGGATTTGAATGAAACAGATTCCTTCTTCCTCTTTCCTTCATTTCTTTTCTTTTCTTTTCTTTCTTTCTTCTTTCTTGATCAGTCTGAATCTCCTTTTTCTTTTCTTCTTTTCTGCATTTCCTAATATGGTTAAGAAGTTGCTTTATTAAAAAAGACTGTTTCATCACATTGGGCAAGTTTTTGTCCAAACTTGCGTGGCCCCGCATGGAAGTGAAAATCCCAATTTTTGTCTCTAGTTTTGGCAGCCCTCATCCTCTACTATAAAAAGCAAAAAACGTGACAAAGGAGGGGGCTGGCCGTGGGTTTTTGGGGAAGTCGGCGGTGGCTCTGTTTGGACGCAAGACTTGGAGTATCACTTCGGGAGTTCTTCGACTGCGCGCAACAAAAGAGAAGGGCAGCAGCCCGTTGCTGCTGTCATACACTCGTTTTGCGTTTGTTTTCTTTTAATTATGTCTGAGTAATTTAGTTTTCAACTCTTAAAATACATGAATGTTGTCTAAAGATTTATTTTACTTCGTTGGTGATTTTAATGGTTATTTCTTCCGTTTATAATTTCATAACAATTATCTTGATCACATATTTGCTTTGTGTTTGTGAATTTAGCATACTTAAGAATAAGATATCAAATTTAGCTCTGTTGAAATAGGCCATGACTTAAACCTAAAAGTTTAGGGTTCCTTACCGGATAGGAATATACCGGTAAGGAATGGTTGGCCATATGAGATGGATTTAATGACTCTACAATTAAATGCAACCATAAAAATATAGGCTTGTGATTAGTTGTAAAGATACCCTTATGACTTCGAAAAGAGCTTAAGGATTTAATTAGGAGATTCGACCATCATTTTGTTACCAATGCTAGGTTAATAATTAGTTAGCAACTAAAGTGGAAATAACAGTTAAATCATTTGCTTAATTTGATTCTCTCATCACCATTATAGTTTTAGAAATTTCCTTTTACAATTAAAATCCTTTCTTTTTGGTTTCGGTTTCTGTTTCTTAAACTTGATGTTTGTTTACCTCCTGTGAGATTCGATCCTACTTGTCGCTTTATTACATTTTAGAGTAAGTTTAATAATTATTAGTATGATACCCATCACAACTTCGTGACAAGGTTATTATGATTTGTCAACTTGGAACAGAGGACGTGTTAGGCTGCGTCATGGTAACGCGCTGAAGCAAAAAGATTGAAATTTTCACCTCATATGTTGCGTCATGGCTCTTGACAACAATAGACTTCCGTGCGTGCATGGAAGCTTGGTTGGTGCAATTAGGGAGCTTTTGAAAAGAAACTGGGTAGTTGATCTTAGACATAGTTATAGAAAATGTAACTTTTTTGCCGACTTTTTGGCAACTCTAGCGGCATCGAATCCAAGTGGGCTTACACGACTGGGTTCGGCGCCTCAAGGAGATCTAGGCTGGCTCTACCACGATAGTGGGAGTAGCATATCCCAGTTATATTGTGGTGTAATCTTTTGAAGTAGTAATATCTTCTCCCTTTCGTGACCCAAAACAAATAATTCTACACAGTATAACTTCTTGGTATAAGTTCTATTGTCTCACCAATTTCGGTTTCTAGTAGTTTACATAGATTGCTTCTTATGTTATTTTCTTAGCTCGTAGGTTTATAGTTGTGGTGGCGCAAACATCTGCATCAATGTACTAATTTTCTGTCGACTTACAAATTCGATTAAAATAAACAGTTTTTTGATAGAGCTAGCAAAAATTAAAGGTTCGCAATCACGAAAACCATTCACTACAAAATTATTCATTGTACCAAAAAACAAAAAAAAAAGCTTACTAAAGTGACTTATTTTTTTGTTATCTCTTTTACCCTATTAAAGCAGAAAACATGATATTGATGTTGCAATTTTTTATTAAAATGTTTTGGCTCCAAATGCACCATATTGTATAAATCATTCTGCCACGTGTCACATCCTTTAAAAATAAAAAATATATTTACAATATTAACGAAGAGATCAGATGGCCATGTTCATTCAAATTTTGAATTTGACAGTGTATGAAATTTTCCTTCTCCATTTATTTAGGACTTCTGAAAAAATTAATTTTCGGTCAATCAATTATTTTCATCAAAAACTAAATTCATTCCTAATCAGTTTTGATTATTTACATATTAATTTATTAGGTGAGACGCCCCCGGACATTTGCCCGGGACAAGCATCTAGTTCTTGTTAAGAACAAATAAGAACCAGACAAAAGCCAAAGCAAAATTAAAGTATGAATAAACCGCTGGAATAAATAACACTTGTATGATACTTATATTAAAAAAAACTGCTTCGACAAATTCTCAATATAAAAAAAATAATCAAATTAACAAACAAATCATTCTTCCTCCGGAATAAAATCACTCAAACGCCCAGGCGTTCTCCCTGCGAACTTCTTCTTCCTCCGGAGTAAAATCGTTCTTAATATTGAAAGTCTCGCGAATTTCCTCGGGAGTCTTGCTCTTGATCATGTCCGCGACTGTTTGACACGTTAAATCAAGCAATTCCTTGATGTTAAGGTAATTGGCAGCCAAGATGAGGTCAAACAGAGTCCTCTGATCTACCTTCACAAAATCAGAGTCAAACGTCTTCAAATCATCGTCCTTTTCCTTTGGTTCGGGGTAATGGCGTTTCAGATATTCAATGACCTTTGCCAAAGTCTTTCCAGCTACGTTGGGAAGAGGGATGACATTGCTCGCACAATCGTCTTCGATCATGTGTTTGATGGTTTGGGATCCGACCGCCACGGATTCCTTGACTTCAAACACCTCCCCATCCGAAGATTTCAGGGAGATCATCTTCTTCTCTGATGAATCAGCTGCACTTGACATGGTGTTTTATGGGACTTTGAAGGAACTTTAAGAACGGAAGGGATTGTTTTAAGCTGAGAAGTTTTAAATAAGACTGGATGTGGAACTATGATAACCCCTCTTGTGGGTTATTTATAGTACCCAAAAGGCCAAAACCGTTCCTTTTCCTAGTCTTGATCAGGTTTCATGGTGCTAAGTCGGTTGGAATTTATTCCTTTTTTTTGGGCAATATGGCTTGCAGTAAGTAATTAAAAAACGAAACGAAAAGGAACCATTTCCTATATAGAATCGGTAGCGATGTCTTTTCTAGAATAAATCCATCATGATCAAGGGATTAGAATCACTCAACAAAGGGAAACAATGGTAAACTTATTAGACTTGCCAGAAGAAGGTGTTCTTCATCGTAGACTTTGTTGGTTTCTTACTTCACAATTAAAGAATAGTACTAGCATGTAGCGCCAAATTGTAAAGTATATATATTGATAATTAGTACTCACTCTATCCCGAAATTATTGTCCAACTTACATTATTATTTTTTAGTTTAATCTACAATAATTTTAAGATAGAAGAAATACAAAGAGTTCACAGTAGAGTTTTTCAAAGTTACTGAAATCATAATTGCCACATAGCTGTAGTGAAAAACACTATGCATTGGTATTCCTTCAAGATACATACGAATATAACTCGTGAATTGATTTTTAATCAGTGATTCTAGGTAGGGGTGTTCACGGTTTGGCTCAAACCGGTGGAACCGTCCAATCCGATCATCGGTTCGGATTAACGGATGGATTATAATTATATTTTTAACCCGGAGATTGAAAAATTAAAAACCGGTTAATCCGGTCAACCGGATTAACGGACAGACTATTTTTTTTCCAAGAAAAGCCTCCAAAAAAAGGTCGAAAAAGGCCAAAAAAAAAATCAAGAAAAGCCCCCCAAAAAAGGTCCAACAACAAAAAAAATGTTTAATTTTTTGACCAAAATGAAAATGTCCAATCAGAAGCCCAATCCGCCAATCCGCCCAAATCAAACCGTTAAAAACGGATTGGATTGGTCCGGATTATATACCAATCCTGTTCAGTTACGGATTGAAATATTTTCAAACAGTAATGAATGGTTTGGTTATGGATTTCTATCAATCCGGACCAATCCGGACCGTGAACACCCCTAATTCTAGGTAGTGTTTATTCCAATTAAAGATTATATTGGAAATCTAAGAAATAAAAAAAAAATTAAAAAAATGCCAGATTGCTGGTATCAATCCGGACCGTGAACACCCCTAATTGTAGGTAGTGTTTATTCCACTTAAAGATTATATTGGAAATCTAAGAAATAAAAAAAAAATTAAAAAAATGCTAGATTGCTGCGATTATTGATAGAAGAATAATATCAAGTGGAATAGAAGTATTATTACCTAGTATTTCAACTTTCAAGTGTTGTATACAAATTGTCCTCTGCACTCTGAACTCAATCCTATTCATAAGGCTTATTATAAAATTAATGGGAGAGGGTATTATGACCTAAATTGATTAGGAATTTTTTAGTTTGACAGCGCGTAAGGTGCCTAAATCAAGAATCAATCAAGATGATGAGGATGAGGTGGGATTAGTCAAAGATGGCTTCAAGTGATCATTGGTAAGTGAGAAGGTTGACTTTTGCTTTGGATGCCTAATTAGTGTAGGGAAAAAGTCAAATTCAATTTGCAACTTGCAGCAATGCATTCATAAAATACTTGACCTCTTGAATTAAATTATTAATACCAGTACTTGCAAAGTAGTCAACTAAGAATGTTTATTATTTTATGATGATGAAAATTCCACCAGAGTCCAATGTGAACAAATCAGGTCTCAGAGTAAAACAGGGAAATATATTGATTCTTGATCACCTCTTGAGCTTATTTTTATCAAGAATTTGCTAGATTTGTATTTTTCAGTCACCTTACTAACATTTCAAGATGGCTGAAGCCATTGTCTCGGTTGTCCTGGAAACCCTTCGGAATTTGTTGGTGGAAGAAGCAACTTTTCTGTACAAAGTGTCTGGTCAAGTTGAAGAAGTGCGGAAAGAGCTAAAGCGGATGCTGTGCTTTCTCAAAGATGCAGAGTCCAAGAGCTGTAAGGATGAAATCGTTCGGAACTGGTTAAGGGAAATCAGGAGTCTCGCTTATCGGATTGAAGATCTTGTGGAGACATATGCAGTCCAAGTTGCAGCTAAGAAATCACCAGGAAGAAGAGGTTTCAGGAAATTTCTCAAGAGGTCTGCTGGTATTTTCGGCGAACTTAGGTCTCTTCATAAAATTGGAAATGAGATTGAAAATGTCAAAGATGAGATTAGCAGCATCACAGCAAGTTTTCAAAGGTATGATATCAAGGCCATTGGTGGAGATGGAGAGAGCTCTTCAAGTCAGAATGAGCAATACCAACAATGGGTTCGACAAACTTATGCCCATGAAGTTGAGGATCACTTTGTTGGAATGGAGAATGATATCGCGAAATTAGTGTCGGTTGTCACTGATGATCACAAGAACCACCGGATCATTTCCATATGGGGAATGGGTGGTCTTGGGAAGACAACTCTTGCAAGAAAAGTGTATAAACATAAAGATGTTCAACGCTACTTTGAGCGCTTTGCTTGGGTCTGTGTAACTCAACAAGCTCAAATTAAGGCGATTCTGCAAGATCTATTGATGCAGCTTCTTCCTGAGAAGAAGGATGATGTAAGATTCATGGAAGGTAGAGAGTTAGTCCAACAGCTTTACCAAGTGCAGATGGAGAGTAAATGTTTGATCGTTTTAGATGATATCTGGAAAGTTGATGACTGGAAGAGCATTCTTGCTGCATTTCCTGTTGCCACAGGAGATATCAAAGTGTTGTTCACGACTCGTAATAGAAAAGTTGCAGAGATTGGATTTCTTTATGAGCTTAAATGCTTGAGCGAAACAGAAGGTTGGGAGTTGCTTCAGAAAATAGCATTCTCAAGTGGAACAACAGGTCAGAATCTGAACTCATGTGCCTTTCTTCTTCTGTATGATATTTCCTTGAAATTGCATAATTTACTTTCTTCCTTTAAGAGTGTGAAGTATGCACAATTGGATAATGTTTCTCACAAACTTCTGTAATCCTTTATAAGAGTAGATTTTAGATGATTTGTGGTAAAGTATACATGAACATATGGTCTCATAGAAATCACAAAAGAGTTTCTCATGTTAGTATAACATTTTCATTCAGATTTTGAGACAGTTCCAAGTTTTAAGGATATTGGAAGGGAATTGGTATCCAAGTGTGGAGGTCTACCACTTGCAATTTCTGTGCTAGGAGGAATCCTGAAACATAAGGACTCTTTAGCAGATTGGGAAATAGTGAACAGGCATATTGGTTTATACCTTCACAACATGGAAGACAATGGGGAGACAGATGGAGGATCAGTGGGCCGAGTTTTGTCATTGAGTTATGATGAACTGCCATATCATTTAAAACTCTGCTTTCTTTACTTGGGTTGTTTTAAAGAGGATGAAGAGATAAGAGCAGATCATCTATATTTACTGTGGATGGCGGAGGGCTTCGTTTTGTCAAAACATCGCACAAATGGAGAAACTTTATTGGATGTTGCTAAAAGATATTTGAACGAATTAGGCCAAAGGTCTATGGTGCAGCTGAAAGTGGATGAGTTCTCTCTAAATAAAAGGTTTCATTCGTGTCGCCTTCATGATATAATGAGAGACTTATGTTTGGAAAAAGGTAGAGAAGAAGAATTTGTCAAGATTATCAATCCTAAAGAAGTAAACCAGTCCATGGTGAACACTGATGATGTTGCTCATAGATTAGTCATTCACATTGATTTGGAGGAAAATTCCATTTCCAGTATTGCTCTGGAGAATTGGCAGCAAACTCGATCACTTCTTTGCCTAAGTACAGTTAGTGGATATTCAGAAAATGAAATGATTTGGCCGCGACATGTTGCTATGCAGAAGTTGAAGTTGCTGAGAGTCCTTAAATTCGAAGGTTTCAACTTTCAAGGCCAAACATTTCCCGTGGAGTTTCAAGACTTGATCCATCTCAGGATCTTAAGTTTTAAGTATTGTAAATTGCATGAATTGCCATCATCTGTGGCTGAGTTGCCACTGTTGCACACCCTTAATTTAGAGGTTAAGTATGAAATAAAAATTCCAGATGTTCTTTGGAGAATGAAGCGACTGAGGCACTTATATTTCAGTTTCAAACACTGTACAGATGTTGGAAAACTTCGATTACATGGTCTGAGAGAGCTGGAGACACTTTGGGCACTTCAAGGTGAGGTGGATGAAATTGCAGACCTTTCCGAATTGATCAATCTCCGGGCCCTTTATGCCATTGTGAAAGATGATTACAATCTTTATGCTTTGTTGTATTCCATCAACATGAACGGTCAAAATCTGCATGAGATAAACCTTTCCATTGATCATTGTGATTTCATTAGTACAGAAGAAGGATATGACCTTTTGCTGAAGGTTCTAACGTGTAAAAATCTTCATCGGCTGTACTTTGATGCAAAGTTGGTTGAATTTCCAAATTATGAAAATGGCTTTCTACAAGGTCTGGCTATGTTAAGGTTATCAGGAAATAACATGGAGGAAGACCCAATGGAAGCATTGGGGCAGCTTCCTCAGCTGCGATCCCTAGTGTTAGGACGTGATGCTTATATGGGGGAATGCATGATTTGCCATGAACGAGGTTTCCCTCAACTCAGGTCTTTGATTTTTAACAGACAACCCAACCTAGAATATTGGAGGGTGGACGAAGGATCCATGCCTAAACTGTCTCATTTGGAAATTTGGGATTGTGATTCACTGTTCATGGTTCCCCATGGGTTGATATTTGTCAAAGGCCTCAAGGAAATAAAGTTTGGTGGCATGCCTTATGAATTTTGTGACAGGGTGACAATGGAAGATGGCCAAGAAGGAGACGATTATTACAAAATTAAACACGTTCCTTCAATTTCTGTGCTCTATCCTCGTTAAAATCCCGGCAAGTTCCTCTTTCACTGATTTTAAGTTATTGTACATTGTACTTCTTCTCTTAAAAGCTCAGCCTCTTTAGTTTCCTATGTTATTATAGAAAATTCAGTGGAATTACGTTTTCACATCATTTACCATCTTTTTTCAGATTATCATCCTCCATCAGCTTTGACAGATTCCTATCGCGGCTTAATGCTCATTATGTCTCTTGCTCAAGAGCAGTTACTGCAATTTCTATTATTGAATGTTTGATGGTTTTAAAATTGTTCAATAAGGTTGTTTCCTTTGGACAACCCACTGGAGCAAGTTCCATGTTTTCTCTAGGATATGTAAATCATGTCAGTATATACTCTGATGTACATTAGTTAACAGGAAATTTGAAGTCACTGAAGTTTCTTTTTCTCAACATTGTGATGCTTTTCAGCAAGAACATTGTCCTCTTTTCCTGTTGAGGACTCTTGAGAATTGAATACTTTGCGTACAACAAGCCTTCCGTTGTTGTTTTCCGGTCTAAAATCACATCCTCCAAGTTCCAAATCTCATCTGTATGGACTATTTGGCCTTCCCAAACTGCAACCTTGATGTAGTAGTTCACAATGAAGAAAATTCGAGTAAAATAACAACTGATCAGAAACAATCAAGTGAAAACTTGAAGGATATTCATCAATTTGGTAATGATTCAGGCAAAGACAACATTATCCAATATCCAATACTTCTTCTAATCGGTCTGGCAGAGATAAAGGAGTCCTGAACTCTGTAATCTACGGATGCCGCTGGCAAAATGTTTTGTAACAATCAAGAAGACAACAACAATCTGAAAAGTGAAAACAAATTTAAGTATAAATATCTCAAAAAAAAAATATGAAAGAAAATAACAAATTAATTGCTAACAGCCTAACATAAATCTTAACAAGTTATTTATTAAAATTATAATTGACACTATTCACAATCGATTTCCACTCAAATGTCCAGGCATTCTTCCACTGCTCTTCTTCCCGGAAGCATGAGAATTCAGGAGGTTGAAAGTCTACAGAATCTCCTCGGGAGTCTGGCCTTTGATTATGTCCATCACGGCTTCAAAAGTGTCGAGCAGGGTTAAACAGAGTCCCCTGATCGACTTTCACGAATTCTTGGTCGAACGATCTCAGGTTTTCGTCATTGTTCGTCTCGACTTAAGCTAAAGTCCTGCTGTGAATCATGGAAAAAGGGATGGTATCATCCGCGCAATCGCCAAATTCATGATTATTCAGACTAGAAACATGATCCACTCATTATCCAACAAGGAATAAGTTGGTAAAAGAATTATATAGAGTTAGAGCTCTAAAATATAGAGTAAAGATTGCCTTGAGAAAATTGATTAAGTATGAATATTCCAAAATATGAAAAGAAGGAACAACAATTTCACTGCTAAAATATAATTAAAACAACTCAAAACAAGCTCTTTATAAGATGAATTGACATTGATAGTTGATAGTAGTATTCATAGTTAGTTTCTACTCAAACGCCCAGGCATTCTCCCTTCGAATCACCGCTTCTTCCTCGGGAGTAAAATCCGATCCCGCATTACGTAGTTGATAAACTTCTCAGCTTCCTTGTCAGTCATGGCCGAGACCCTCTGCAATAGCTCGAGCAGTTAGTTCGAGCAGGCTTTCAATGTTCAGAAAATGCCCCCGCCACGCTCAGGCGAAGCAGAGTCGCCTGATTGACTTTCACGAACTCGACGTCGAAAGATCTCAGGTTTGTGTCATCATGGTCTTTTTCGCTATGGAATTTGAGATATTCGACGATTCGGGCCAAATCAAAGCTGAGAATCTTGTTAAGCGGGATGGGTTTATCCGCGCAATTGTCTTCAATCATGTGCTTGATTGTCTGTGATCCGACAGCGGCCGCCTTCTCGATTTCGAAGACCTTGCCGTCTAGAGATCTCAACGAGATCATCTTCCTCGATGAAGAACTTGACATGGTAAATTTTATGAACTTGAAACGAAAGAAATCCGTAAAGCAAAGAAGCAAAAGTTTAAGGTAAAAAAGATAGGGGAACTCCGAACTCTGTTCTTTTCTTTGCGGGATATGTATAGAACTTGAGAAAATACTCAAGTCGGTTTGGAAATCATTCTTTTTATTTTTTTTTTTTATGGAAAAATGCGAGATATAGTAGAACGTAGCTATATTTATATTTATTCGTCCCGACAATACTAAAAGTTAATACTTATCCTAAAAATATTTTTTTAAGAAATAATAAATATAAATATTTAGTAAATTATGAATTATTGATACTTGTTTTTTCAGTACTGATAAAATTTACAATATTGGCTTAATTTGCATGATAAATATAGAGATGATAGTCCCAATTAATAATTGATTTTTTTTTTCAGTAAATGGTCAATGTAATATTACTTATCAAAAAAAAAAGTCTATCTTCACATCTTTACAAAAGTGTTCATTCTCAGAACACAACACCTTGTGGCTTGTGCACCTTGTGCTCAAAAATAGCTAAGTTTCTGTTTGTCCATATGTGATAAATACCTGCTGTAATTGCAGCAAACATGAAGCTCTGTTTACCCTTTGACCATTTCCATAGATTCACTAACTTGTGCCAATTTCTTGGAGCCAGTGAATTATTCCCCAATTTTAACCATACTTTCATTCCAACCCAAAGTTCCTAGGCAAACTTACATTGATCAAAAAGATGTTCCATAGATTCGACATGTGATGCACATAATCCACATGAGTTGTCGGTGATACCATAATTCATTCTCATCATCCGATCCCTAGTTAACAGTCTTCCGCACCAATACAACCAAGTCACGAAACAATGCTTGGGGACATTCAGCCTATTCCAAACAATCTTGCTTTCATGTTTTTTCTGATGATTTCCTTGAAGCCATTCATATCCAGACTTTATAGTGTATTTACCTGTTGGAGACCCAATCCATTTATGTTGCTGAAAGCCTGTTTTCACTTTGTCTTTGAGCTTGATGATTTGCTTCCAATGCCAATTAATGTCTCCCGTGGCTGTTGCTTCCCATATCTCCTTATTCTTGAGATAGACTCCATGTACCACTTAACCCAAAGGTTATCTGTCTTAAGTACCAGTTCCCATATCTGCTTGGTGACCGCAGCATCGTTCCACAAAGTTATGCACACTAAGACCACCTGTATTTTTGGGCATGCACACCTTTTCCCATGCCACCAAAACCACAGATCTTCCAGATTCCTTTGTCCTCCACAGAAAATCCCTACGGATACAATTCACTTGCTGACGAGTCCAGATCCATCACCGAGACTGTACCGGCCCACCAACCATAGGAAGAGTCCAACCGGAACTCTTAGGACGGTGTAGATTCCTGAAACTTAGTTGGATTTGGGAATTTATCAGGTAATCTCATACCTATAAATAGGGTAGCTCATACCACAATTCAGGTACGCAATCTATAGCCGAACAAACTACCTTCCCAAACTTTCTGATAACCCTTTTCACTGACTTAAGCATCGGAGTGTCTACCCTCGGGAGACCCCGAGGCCTTGTTTTGCAGGTAACCCTAACCGGAGTTCCACCGCTAAACCGACGGCACATATCCAAGCAATGGGTACAGAAATGTGAGAAGTGTCAACGCTACTCTCCCATCACCCGAGAGCCACAACACGAGATGGTCACCATCCAAAGCCCTTGGCCATTCTACCAATAGGGCACCGATATCATCGGCCCCTTTCATCCGGAAGGAGTAGGAGGAGTAAGATGGGTCATTGTAACAGTAGATTACTTCACTAAATGGGTAGAAGCCAAACTCTTGGCCTCAATCACAGGGAGAAAAGTCTTGGATTTTTTCTGGCAGAACATAGTATGCCATTTTGGGATCCCGAAGGTTATCGTCTCTGACAATGGGACCCAGTTCGAGAGCAATACTTTCAAGTCATGGTGCGATGAAATGCAGAGCGAACGCTGCTTCTCAAGCGTAGCTCATCCCCAGGCCAATGGGCAGGCCGAATCCATCAACAGAACAATACTGCATGGAATCAAGCCCAGGCTGTATGACGCCAAGGAGGCATGAGCCGACAAACTTCCTCACGTCCTGTGGTCATACCGAACAACTGCCCACTCCTCGACCGACGAGACACCATATAGCTTAGTCTACGGTATGGACGCCGTCCTCCTAGTCAAGATCGGTCTGTCGAGCCCTCGAACCATAAACTTCGTCGAAAGTACCAATGATGATGACATCCGGCTAAACCTTGACCTGCTCGAGGAACGTCGAGATGCCGTCAGAATCCGAGAAGCCAAGTATAAAGAGATCCTTCGCAGATATTACAACAAGAAGGTAAAAGCCGCGGATCTCGCTGTGGGTGATCTCATACTGAGGAAAAACGAGGCCAGTCGAGCAGAAGCCCCTGGAAAACTCACTGCAAATTGGGAAGGGCCTTACAAGGTTATCCAGACTTCCCCAGCAGGCTGCTACCGCCTACAAGCCATGGATGATAGCGGAACCATTCTTCCTCGATGGTAGAACATTCAGAATCTTCGCAAGTTCTATGTTTGAGTCTTTGTCCGCTATTTGTCCATTATGTGTTTTATTTGTTTTATTTATCCAGTCAGTTTTATACTCTCACATGTAATGCTAACCCGGGTCCTCGGGAAATTATTCAATAAAAGACATTACATATTCTTTTCATTAATAGCAATGCATTCACGACTAGTCATCGAGATGACTCCCTCTTTAGGGCCATCCTCGCTTAAGAACCGTGTACTCAACATCCGGACACAAACTCGAGGAACTTTCCTCACACACATTGCAAAACGCAGTGTCAAGTCAAGGAATTCATACCCGATTCCTATGACAGAGCCGTGTACTCTACATCCGGCCTAAAAAGCGCTTTATAAATCAATACTCGAGTAAAATAAATATTCGTTCCACACTACTGTGCAAACTCACAGAAAAGTACATGCATTCTACACTATTACAAGCACCTCCCTGACAGGATTGTCAGGGGAGGGATGAATAATCCCCTTATACCCATGCAGGCTAAGGAAATTCACACACTGATTCAATTTATCCTTAAGGTCCACGATCTCTGTGTCCTGAGCGTGCACCCTCATCAACAGCTCCTCTCGAGAACTCCGAGTTTGAGGATCCACAGTTTCCTCCGGACGCTCAAAAGCCTCAAAGTCGATATTGTTGTCCAGCAGAAGATTTTGCAGTTGGGCAATATAATCTGTAAGAAGCTCGATCTCACGAGATCTCTCTTTCAATATATCCATGGCTGCAATGAAACGGCGAGTCCTAACCATAATCATGTGCTGGACTCGAGCTAACACCTGGTGCTTCTCGAGAAACCAGGGAGACATAGTAATCTGCTGTCTGGCCCTAAGCCGAGCATTTTCCTTCTCCAAGGTCACCAGCTCATCATGGATCTCAGCCTCAAAAGTCAGAGAGTCACTGTGGTCTTTCAGACTTTGAACCTCTCGACGCTGCATCTCCTCGTGGAGTCCTTTAATCCCATTTATCAGATGCTGGTTAACCTTTACATTGTGCGTCCTCATGGCATCGAGCAGGTCGTTCTCCAAATGCACCACCGTCTCGAGGCTGTGCACATCAGCATGACTTCTCAGAATCCCGGTAATCATAGAATATAATGGGAACTCCCTCGATTGCTCCTCTGACAACACCATGTGGTGAACGCGGTGAACGGTCCAACTTTCCTGTTTCACCAGAGGAGTATAAGGCACTCACATCAAACCAAATAGAAAGAACACAGAGGACAAAGAAAGGAAAGGGAAAGAGATGTTTGCATAAATCCGTGAAAAAGAAAATTAGTTTATTACAACAAAAAGAAATGGTTTGAATGACCTAGCAACTATTACAGATGGCAGGATTCATACAGCGTCACTGCCTTGGAGGGGGTCATTGGAAGGGTCCTTGGAAGGGGCCTGGGAGGCGTCCTCGATGGTTCTCTGAACTCCGGAGGGGCCGGTATCAGCAACGTCCTCCTCGGTTTCCTCGTCGGCGTCCTCGAGCTCAATACCCATATATTCGTCAGGTACCTCGGGTATAGGGTCTTCCTCACTTGGACCCTTGGCCAGGACAGCAGGAACGTCGCCCGGAAACGAGGCAATCTCCGCGGGAGAACTCATTTTCGCCATGGCGCCAGTCAAAGTTCCCCACAGAGGAAGCTGCTCGAGGCTCAACCTTGTCAAGACCTTTACCATGGCTTCGTGCATGGTTTTCTTCGGGTCCTTCATCAGTAGCTGCTTAAACCATTTGGCCTTGATCGGCCTGTCCTGGTCGAACCTTTTCAACCCTGGCACGCCGACTCGGTGCGCACCACACTTGGTGGCAACCAAGTTCATCTCCTCGAGGGCTACCTCCATCCCTCCTGTACACATCATTTTGCTCATAAAGGCAGTACACCACTGATGTAGTTCCTCCTTGGAGATGTGCAGGCTGGCAAACGACCTCATATTCTCCTCGAGCTCGTCGTATTTAGCCTGCACCTCGACGATCTCGACCTCCTTAACTTGTACCTGGCGTGTTTTCTCCTCGAGAGTAACCACCTCGAACAACGCCTCATCCCTTTCCGCCCGAGCTATAACCATATCTTCTCGAAGTTTCCTTAGCTGCACTAGATAGGCCATCGAGGCCGCACTTATCTGTACCAACATATAATATCAGGAACACATTGATATACATATGCATTTACGACCTAATCTGGAAATTGACTTACCAGTCTCAAACTGTCAGCTTCGTTCAGCTGAGCAGCAAACTCCTCGAGAACAGGACACTCGATCGACGGTGGGTTGCTAAACGTATGGACCGCCACGGACGGACCACCCTCGAACAGCTGAGGGGGCAAGATTATCGCTTCACCCTTGAGAGGGCCCTTGCCTTTTTTGGCCGCAGGAGGAACTATGCTTGGCTCTACTTCCGGCATAGGCTTCTGAACAGACTCGGTGGCAAGGGGCACCGTCTCGATGTCCGGCTGTGTGGTTTCCTTTGAGGGCGCGTCCGTCTTGGCTTTCTTGGATTTTGCCCTATCGCCCACCTTCACGATCCTTTTCTTCTTTTTCTTCTGAGGGGCGGCAGTAACAGTAACATCCTCATCTGAATTCACAATGACAAAAGGATCTTCGTCACCAAACAATCGAGACCCAACATTGCTTGACGACATGACCTAACAACAAAGAAAAAAAGAAGAAAACGATTAGTACCTTGATCTTCTTCGACAGAGATTTCAAGGGGAATCCTGGTTGCTCCCTCGGCAATGACTGTATCACCTTCCTTCGCATATGCAGGGGGCACATAGTATTGAACGTCGTTCCACTTAACGACCTTCGAATATTTTAGAATTTTCTCCACATCTGCCGGAACTCCTCGGCACACTCTTCATCCTCTTGGGTCCATTCATCTTTTATGGCCCCAAGACTCTCTGTCTCTCGGAGATTCCATGGCAGACAATAACTCGCAGGCGCCTTTACAAACACAAAGTCCGGTTTCCATTCCGGAGAACTGCCATACGCCTCGACCATCTTCTTCACACCAGTTCTAAGGCGTCTTTTTACTATATACCAATCCTGGAAAGAAGTCGAGGCCACAACTACTTGGAAAAAATACCTCCACAATATCAATCGAGGTAGTACTTTTACATGTTGGCACACTCTCGCAAACCCCAGTACAAATGTAATTAAATTTGGGCGAGAGGAGTCCTATAGTGTTGAACAATCTCCTCAAACAGGAGGTAGAGGGGAAATCTAAGCCCTAGATGCATAAATCGATCATACACGGTAATTCTTCCCCTTGGAGGAGAGTTAGCCCTCTCGTTTCCTAATGGAGCTCTCGCCTCTAGGGCTGAGGGGAAGTCATACTTGGATCTAAGACTCTCTACCTTATCCACCGAATCTATGGTGGATACATAGTCCAGAACGGTTTTTCCTTCGGAATCCCTAACCATAATTTCGGCGAGGATCTGCTCTGGGTACAACAGAAAAGGAAACGGAACAAATCAGAGATTCAGATCTAGAAACTTACTATGTAAGGGGGACGTGACCACTCGCCTTTCGAATTATAACTCCCCAGTGTTGTTCAGAAGCTTCAATTTACAACTCCCCTGGAAGCGGCGTCGCCGGGGCAGTATATCAGGTAAAATCTTGAAAATTCCGGCCGGGAAAAGAATTAGGATGCTCTGGTAGAGAAGAGCAGAATGGGGGCTGGAATACTTTTGCAAAGGAAAGGATTTTGTGTTTTTGCAAAGAAGGAAGGTGATTAAGTGTCCAGGGATGGTAGAGCTTTCTCTTTTAAAAGCAAAGTTGATTCTCCCACGTTTCCCTAATTATGGACCACGATTTGACAGTTATTGCGCATTTCAAGTAATAATGTTGAGGCTGCCGTTTGGGGAACGTGCCCACTAATAATGCACAATTGAAAATTTAACGGGATTGGGAAGCGGGTCGTCTTCCGGGGTCACGACCTGACCCGCCGGTTCCTCTCGATCCTCCGAGGTCGAGGGTCATGCGTTAGCATCGAGCTCGTTGAGCATGCGCCTCGACAATTAGCTAAACGAGGGTGGTCTGTCCATTCTCAGGTATGTCCCAGGTAATGTTTATTTTATGCCAAGCGTTGTTTGTTTCTACGTCACTAACCCTTGGCAGGGGCACTTGACGAGTCCAGATCCATCACCGAGACTGTACCGGGCCACCAACCATAGGAGTCCAACCGGAACTCTTAGGGCGGTGTAGATTCCTGAAACCTAGTTGAATTCGGGAATTTACCAGGTAATCTCATACCTATAAATACGATAGCTCATACCACAATTCAGGTACGCAATCTATAGCCGAACAAACTACCTTCCCAAACTTTCTGGTGACCCTTTTTCACTGACTTAAGCATCGGAGTATCTACCCTCGGGAGACCCCGAGGCCTTGTTTTGTAGGTAACCCTAACCGGAGTTCCACCGTTAAACTGACGGCACATATCCAAGCATCGTCACTTGCTTTATCACACTTTTCGGAATTTGGAATACTGATGCCCAGAATGAGTTCATATGCGGTAGTATTGAGTTGATCAGCTGCAGTCTTCTAGCATAAGAAAGATGCCTAGATGCCCAAGTTTTCACCTTAGCAGCAACCCTGTCTACCAATGACTGGCAGTCTTGCTTAGACCATTTTGCCCGGAGTGATTGGGAATCCTAGGTATCTCATTGGGAAAGAGCCTTTGTCAAAGCCAACAATGTGTTCCAGTTTGATTTTTCCACCTCTGAAACCCCCACACAGAATATTTGAGATTTCTTCAAATTTGGTCGCGAACCAGTGGTTTCTGCGAACTCTTCAAGCTTCTTTTTAATGGTTCTAACTGTATTTTCTTTTGCCTTGCACACTATTATCAAATCATCAGCAAATGACAAGTTGACGAGATTCAAGTCTTCACATTGTAGATGGAACTAGATACTCCCTTTGCTAATTTCCTCTTGGAATAATCTCGTAAGATATGACATCATAATTACAAACAACAAAGGAGATATAGGATACCCTGTCTTACACCCCTTTTGCTGGGGGAAAATCCTACCAAATTACCATTCAAGTTCAAAGAGAAAGAGCGGGATGTAATACAACTCATAACCAACTAATGAATTTTTCTTGAAACTTAAGACCCCTTAAGGATTCACAAATGAAATTCCAAGAGATAGTGTCATAATCTTTTCTAAGATCTACTTTTCGCAAGCAACTAGGTTTAACACTTTTTCTCTTATACAATCTCACTAGTTCTTGGGTACTAAGCACATTATGCAACAGCAAACAACTTTTCACATAGGCCCCTTGATTGATATTTATCACAGAAGCAAAACAAGACTCAATCTTTCACTAAGGATCTTAGATATGCACTTATAGAAAGAGTTACAAGAAGAAATAGGTCTATATTCGCTTGCATCTTTGGGTGATACACATTTAGGGATAAGCGATATTAGAATACTATTTACCTGTTTAAGCAGCTCCCCAGATTTGCAAAACTCCTGTGCTGCTGATATTACGTCATGGCTCACTGTTTCCCAGAACGCTTGAAAGAATTCACTCCCAAATCCATCCGGGCCAGGGCTTTTGCTACTATGTATACCAAAAATAGCTCGCTTAATCTCTTTTTCAGTAAAGGGTTTACAGAGCATAACTTGCTGTTCAAGTGTGACTTTTGGTCCCAGATCAAAAACTGCATTTCTAGCTTCTCTTCTCTGTACTTCAACTCCCACTAGTTGCTGAAAATATGACACAAGGAGCTTTAATTCACTGGCTTCAATTAATAATTGATTTGTTCTATACGAATTTCGTACAGGAAGAAAAAATTCGTCTTCTTTGTCCGGAATCCACCATTCTCGAAAGAATCGAAGCTTCAAAGACTACATAGAGAAAGTAATCCCTCAAGTGGATAGAGAAGTAGAAGTTGGAAGCAGGTCACTAGAAAAGAATTTGCATATAATGAAACTGATCAGAATCAAGTTAGCAGGTACTTTTCATAAATCCATTACTGAAAGTCGAAAGATGCAATGTGACAGTTGACTGTTTGCTAAACTAACATCGATTTTATGATGATTCAGAGAACTTTTAAAAGATTTCTCAGGAATCATCCCAAGGAGCTTCTCTGGTGGCTGTAAAGATGGAGCAGAAAACCAAAATTATCATGTTTAAATATTCCAAAATATAAAAAGAAATAACAATTTCATTGCTGAAATAATAAAACAAGCCATAGCAAGTTCTCTATGACTATTATAAGATTATTTGACATTGATAGTTGCGGCTTGAATTAACTCAAAATTGAGCGTGAACTATTTTTCTGGGACTAAGGGAGTACTATTCACTATTGATCAAACGCCCAGGCATGCTCCCTGCGAATCGCTTCTTCTTCTTCAGGAGTAAGATCGTTCTTGATGCCAAATACCATCCGAATTACCTCGGGAGGAGCGTCCTTCAACATGTCCGCCACTGCCTGAGAAGTGAGGTCTAACAGGCTTCCAATGTTCAGAAAATTTGCAGCCTCGAGCAGGCGAAACAGACTCCCCTGATTGACTTTCACAAATTCATCGTCGAACGATCTCCGATCTGGGTCATAGTATGGCTTGCTGGTGCTGTGGAATTTGAGATATTCAACGACTCGGGCCAAATCCTTGCTTTGAATCTTGTCGAGCGGGATGGTATCGCCCGCTCAATTGTCTTCGATCGTGTGTTTGATCGTCTGCGATCCAACAGCAGCCACCTCCTCCTCGATTTCAAATACCTTGCCATCTGAAGATCTCAACGAGATCATCTTCTTCTTACTTGACATGGTAATTTTATGAGCTTCACAGGAAAAGCTAATGAAAATCCCTTTTAAGCAGCGAAGGAAAAAGAAGCGAAAGTTATTAAAACTGGATGTGGAACTATGGATCTTTCTTGTGTGGGTTGTTTATAGAAGAACTTGGGGAACAACCGAAAAACTTGATTATTCTTTCCCTAATTGTAGTTGGGTTTGATACCTAATTGTATTTGGGTTTAATATTACACAATTTGATTAGGATTCAATCTTTCTTTTTGTAATAAACAATCATCAAGTGAAAAGCGAATAATTTCTTCATTGCTAACATAAAAGCAACTCATAACATAGCTTTTAGTATCGATGAACAAAAAACGAACATAAAAAAGATTAGTTTTTTAAAGCTAAATGACGAAGGCTGGAATTTTATCACCGGTTTAATGGTGGAACGCTGGCTAGGGTTTCATGTAAAACAGAGCTTCGGGAGACACTCCGATATTTAAGTTAGAAATAGGGTTATGAGTAAACGTGTGTATGAGAATTGGTGCTAGAGATAGTGTACCTCAATTGTGGTGTGATCAACCCTATTTATAGGCATGGAGTTGCCTGGAGGGTATCCGAATCCTATTAGGTTTCATGCTGCTCAAACTGCCTTAACAGAGTCGGTTGGGCTTATAATTACCGGATGGGCCGAGTCCGATAATCCCATATGAATATGGACTCGTCACTAAATTTCACAGAGAAAAAAAAAAGAAAGTGAAAAGATACAATTTCTACCATAATAACAAGAACAACCATTACAAATCCGAGCAAATTTTTAATGAAAATTAACCATCCATACAACACACTAAGAAAACAACTCATAACAAGCTCTCTATTGATAGGTTGATACCTACTCACCATTGGTTTCTACTCAAACGCCCAGGGATACTCCCTGCGAGTCTCCTCTTCTTCCTCGGGAGTCAAAATCGTTCTGGATGTTGAAAGTCTTTCGAATCTCCTCGGGAGTCATGCTCGAGATTATGTCCGCCACGGCCTGAGAAGTGAGGTCAAGGAGGGTTCTAATGTTCAGAAAATGCGCCGCCTCGAGCAGGCTAAACAGAGTCCCCTGATCGACTTTCACAAATTCATTGTCAAAAGATTTCAGAGTTTCGTCATAGTCTGTCTCGCTGTCACTGCTGCTGCTATGGAATTTGAGATATTCGACCACTTGGGCCAAAATCTGGCTGTGAATCTTGGAAAGAGGGATGGTACTACCAGCGCAATTGTCTTCAATCATGTACTTGATCCTCTCTGATCCGGCAGCAGCTGCCTCTTCGACTTCGAATACCTTGCCATCTGAAGATCTCAACGAGATCATCTTCTTTGATGAATCGGTTCTTGACAAGTTAATATATGAACTTGACAGAAAAAACGCTAACTAAACCTATTACAATGTAAGAAATCCCTTGAATAGAGAAGCAAAAGTTCAAGGTAAAATATGGATTGTGAAGGAAATAAGAAAATATCAAGGGGGGAGGTTAAGGACAGTCAAAGCAAAACAGTAGCATTAGTTTTACTGGAGGAAGTCAAGGCAGATTTGTAGCAGTAGGAAATTCCTCCATTCATTCAAAATTTTAAAATGATGCGTATTTTAAGCTACAATTGTACAAGTGGAGATATTTGTATATTTAAAGAGATGTGTAAATGTGAAATACTAAAATGCAGATTCGTCTTCTTCATCCTGAAATCTGAATCCACCATTTTCAATTCCAGACGCAAAAGTTGAAACTCCACTTGGAAAGAATCGAAGCGTTAAAGAATACGTACCAAAGATAATCTATCAAGTAATAATCAGTTGGAAGCAGGTCACTAGAGAAGAATTTGCATAAAATAAAACTGACAGAAACAAGTTAGCAGGGATTGTCATGAATCCAATAGCTGAAAAATCGAAAGATGCTATGTGACAGTTGACTGTTTGCTAAACTAACATCGATTATGATTCACGGCTTGAGGCAGGACAACATTATTCACTAAGACACAGTTCTGAGAGGCTCTGGAATTTCTCATGAATCATCACAAGGAGCAACTGCGATGACTGTAAAGATGGTGCTGGCGAAAATTTTCATTACAAAATGTAAAGAAGAACAATTTCATTGCTAAGATAGTAAGATAAAACAGCTCATAACTAGTTCTCTATTAGATTAATTGACATTGATATCGGTTATATATTCACTATTGATTTCTACTCATATGCCCAGGGGTACTTTCTGCGAATCGCTTCTTGCTTGAGAAGTGAGGTCGAGCAGGGTTTTAATGTTCAGATAATTCGCCGCCAACATCAAATCAAATAGTCTGCTGATCGACTTTCACAGATTCATTCTCGAACGATCTCAGATTCTTTTTCATAACTGCTGCTGCTATGGAATTTGAGAACTAGGGTCAAAATCTTGCTATTAATCTTGTTTCTAAGTGTGATGGTATCATCAGCGCAATTGTCTTCTATCAGGCGCTTGATTGTTCCAAATCCAGTCTTACTTGATGAATCAGTACTCGACATGGTAATTTTATGAGCTTGACTGGAACTTCAATTATATCTAGAATGAACAAAATTCCTTAAGCTGAGAAGCAAAAAGTTACGACTGGATTTGGAACTATGATTCCTCTTGTGGGTTATATGTAGCTAGTTTTTCAGGAACTACCGAATACGGTTCCCTAATGTAACCGGGTTCCAGCAAGATCTTCCAGAGTCTTATGGACAAATCCCATAGACTTTCAGTCTTTCTGATTGGGTTTTTATGATAATCCCCTGTTCTTTTATCATTTTCTTGACGGTTTAATATCGATGAACAAAAAACAAAAATAAAAGAGACTAGTTTTTTCACAGAAAGAAGGTGGAAAGATACAATTTTTATCATAACAACAAGAACAACCACTAAAAATTCGAGCAAATTTCTGATCAAATTAACCAGCCACGGAGCATACAAAAGAAAACCTTAAAATCCTCAAAAACACTTTTCTTCTCAACTCTCAAAACTCCAAAACAGAGCTCAAGAAAACTAATCAAACTGCAGTTCTATACTACAAGGATGAACCAGAAAAGCATGAATTCGACAAGTTTGAAAAACAATTTACATTGCAGGGGAATAGGCTGATTCGGGACGAACACCAAGAAGGGCTTCTTGTTGAAGATCCATTTCACGAAACTGCTGTTCACGCTCCATGGCAAACATGAGTGGAAGTCCAATCACCACGAACGTCGTGACGGAGATCCACGCCGCCTTGCCGGTGCTCCTCAGAAGCTTTTTTCCGACATAAGCCAAATCGCAGGCCACTTTTTGACCTTTGCCGACCAGAGTTGACTCGGATCCCTGCATAATCATGCCGGATTTGTTCTTGGATTTCTTGGCTAAAACCCGTTTTCCTCGAGGAGCCGCCATCGGAGTTGTGGATTTATATATAGGCTCTGAGTTTCTAAGAAAGTCTAAAAAACCCTTTCGTGGAGAAGGAGAAAGAGGAAGAGAAAAGCGGAAGAAACAGAGAAGAGGGTTTTAGGCCATTTAGGGGTTTAGTTTTAGTAGACAGGCGGGAGATGAACGACGTCGTTCCCTCTTTGGAATAATAAAGCCAATAACTTCTTTTCCATCTTGTTAAATTTTTATTCTTTTTTTGCCGAAAAAAAAGGAAATAATAATAATGATGATGATGATCAATATATCTATATCTATATGTATCTATCTAATCTAACTAATATAAAGGGGGAGTTCACCGGGTCAGCACCGGTTTGTGTTCCGTGGCCGGTCGGTCAAGGCCACATGACGACGCTGAACCCGGTGACCCCTTCACAGCTGTCGTTCCTCCGGTGAGCCCTTCTCTTCTATTCTCTCACCGTGTTTCGATGCTTCACTTCTCTTCTTTAATGGTAAAGAAATTTGTCCATCTTTGCTTCTCGCACAAAATTGGATTTTTGCTACTATGTGGGCGTGTCTTCTCCAATCTCCAATCTCTCTGCTCCGTTATCGTTATCTGGCGAAACTTATGCGTTTGCTTCTCCAATTCCAATCACAATCTGCATAAACCCAAATAGAGTTTATGGTATTATAAGTAGTAGTAGCCGTCCCACATCTTTTCCTACCACCGCCACCGCCGATGCTTTTCTCGGTCAAATTCTTCCTCCAAACCTTCCTCGATAACGACGCCGGATGAGCTGGAATATGAGCCCGATCCAACCCTCTTGCAGATTGGAGTATCCATGAGATTATGGTGGACTGGCGGTGAGACGGCATAAGCACGGCGGCTGCAAAACGTGCAAAGTGATGGTAAATATCCTTTGCTTCATCTGTATTTGCTTTATGAATCATCTGTATTCTAATCAAATTTTGGGTGATTATTGGCTGCTGATGACGGTTTGTAAAAATTATTTGTCTGTTGATTGATTGATCAAGTTGTTTTGATGAACGCGATGTACTTGATGTGTTTGTCTTTTGGTCTGAAAGAAACATTTCCTTACTTCAGAAAATGATACAAACCAAGCCATATATTATTATTCTTACCGCCACAAAAAAATTTGCCCACTAATTTTCCACTGTATATATTAATCCCTTACCACTTCCTGTTTGTTTATGCAAATCAACAAGGCGATCTTTACAATTTGCAAAAAAGAACACACCCATCAGGAAAAAGGTCCTACAAATTATGGCCAAGTTAGTACTAAATGCTCTAAGTTTACCATCTACTCTTTATTTTAATATTTTAAAAAACAAAGGTAACTACATAACGTAGTATATTTAACACTTTCTGGATTACCGAGGATGTGGGTCGATGGAGGGTTGTGGAGTTGTATTGTTGTTTTGAGGAACTGGATTTGCTATATATGTAAGGCTAAGTGAGCGTAACATGGAATTTTAGAGTTCCAAAGTCTTAGAAACTCTTAAATAGGTTGAATTTTTTAAGCTGAAGGGTTTAGCCTCATGAGCTGTGCAATGGTACACTGGTCCCCTATGATCTGTAATCATCATGATCCATATGGTTGTCAGTTTTTACAAATGGGATTGTTTAGAAATCTTTTAAATAGTTTGAAGTTTTTAAGTAAACAGTTTAGCCACATAAATTATTCAAAGGTACACTGATTTTATATGATCTCTAATTGTATATATTTGTCCTAAATGTTATGTTTGTAGGCTCAAATCATTCATATCTCATAAGCCTAAGACTACAGAGGAAAAGAGTACTCTAGGGATAGGCTATTACTGCTTTGGATGCTTTAGATGCTTGCAAAACGTATTTGTATGTCTGTGATCTTTGTATTATTATCCTAATTTGTCTTGCAGGAAAAAGTCACTGGGAAAATAGAGTGATGCATTTTCCTCTGAGAAGGATAACAGTCGAGAGGAGCTCATCGAGCAGAACAAGCCATATACGGATTGAACAAAGCCATGTTGATGATTTATTTTATATGCTGAGATAGATGTTCTAGATTCCTTTCATTTCCAGCAAACCTGTAACCTGTAGGTTTGCTTTTGGACGATACTAATTTGTTAGAAATTCTGAATTGTGATTGTTATAGAAATAAAAATTGATAGATGATAAGTGGCTTTAGATAACCTCAAGAGACTGTGAACCGGGTAAGTGAATGTATCTTGTAGAAATTTGAACTATTTTTGTATGTAGGGAAGAGGCATTACCATGACCAAATTAAGTTGAATGTAAATTATAGGCCAATGGTACTGATCTCTGTAAGTACACTAATCTTTGGATCTTGATTGGAACCCTTTGATATTTATTTTCACTTTTAATTGTTTTCAAGTTACCACACTGATGAGATTGATGCTTACGACTGGGCTGCTGTGTTTAGTTTTGCAATGCCTTGAATTAAGCTTCAAACGTTGTCATCTCAATTGCAGATTTCAAGCTCTTATACTACGCCAGATCAGTTGTTTTCTCTGCTCTAACCAGCATGCACACTTATATATAAAGTCAGAGAATGGTCCTCCAAGGTGAGAAGAACCAAGGGTGAAATGGTACATGAAATAAGTCAATAACTGCGTAGAGAATATAGGTGTAACTGTATGTTTGGTATTTAGCCTTGCCATTTTTAATGTGTAAATAACTCTTCACACTTTCTCAGAATTTCGAACAATTAATTAATTTCTTTACATCTGATTTATATTGTATATGAGCACTCACCTTTGAGTTATAACTTCGAACTATATTTGCATGTGTTTGGTTCATTTTCAAGGAACCATTCTTTTCCCCTATAAAATGCCAGTAATCCATACACCTACTTAGGAGAAAGACCAAACTATCAATTTCTTCATTGCTTTAGCTTGAGACTGAAAATCTTCAACTCAGGTGATCCATTAATGAGCTAAAATCACCCTTCGAATGAGACGAACTAGAGGCCTTATCCTTGATATCCGTCAATGCAAACCGTGCACTAGCAACTTGAATATAACATGACGAAGAAAATAAAAAAGCTTGGTGTGTAATATATGATTATAATTTCAATTAGTTCCAAGAAGGGATTTAACGACTGATAAATCTTGGTGAAGTAGTTATTTTTGTGTTAATTTATACATGGAATGAACTTCATTATAAACTTTGCGAATGTTTTACCTACTCTTAAGCGTCTCTGGGCTATCGTTCACCTCAGACTGCACAAAGTGCAGCACCAAAGCCTAGTATGTATCAATGGGGGAGTTGGACCGGGACTGCTCCCGTTTAGGTACGGTGCCCGGTCACTCTTTCCACAAATGTCGTCTACCGATTGGGCCTTTCACTGTCGACGTTGTATTCTTCATCTTCTCCAATCTCCATCCTTCTTCTCTGCTTAACTCAAACAATAACACAATTCATGAAACAAATTGATCGCTCAATCTTCGGTCCTTCCACAAAAATGGATTTTCTTCCAAAATCTGAAAATCTCCTCTTTCCTCGATCCAAACATCTGTGCTAAAAAGTTGTGACTAAAAATCACACTGGTCCGGCGGCATCCTGGTCTTCGTCAACTCTTCTTCCCGCTTCATCTTTTGGTTCTTCCTTCCATCCCTTCCAACAGCTTGCAACAACACCCGTCATCATGAATTGACCATTTAGAATTCAATTAAATCAGTGTCTGATGTAGCAGCAGAAGCCAGTACCCTCCATGTCTACCAAAAGAACTCATCGCCCTAATCATCTCAAGTCCAGTACCGAGGTAAATTTTGAATTATAATGTTGATATTGATGGTATAATTGGGGATGTATGTAATCCGTAAAGTGTTTGGATTTGTTCCTCTAAGATATATTGTGGCCAAAATGAAAATTTTATCCAGTATACCCGGAGGCACCGTGCCCCCCTCCTATTTTTTGTATTTTTAGCTCTTATTGTACTTTTTATCAATCTTTCTATATTTTACAAGTATAGTCCCTGTCATTTTTTCTCTCTCTTCCAAAAAAAACATCTCTAATCTTTCAACGACCATATCTCCCAATCCGTGAAGAATTTGTGAACGAATTATATATGAAATTTATAGTACTCGTCAAGATCTATCCCACGAAATCCACAGTGAACATTTTTTCGGACTTAAAAATGACTTAATTCTGACGGGCAGAAGAGGTGGTTATCCATCCTTTTTTTTTTTTTGAAGAGTGAATGCCAAACATATGATTGGATAACAAGTACGAACCAAATGGATAATCACTCCAAACCGATTGCATGAACACAACGGATAACCATTTTTCAAAGAAAAACGAAAAACACGTTTCTTCATTTCTGCCCGTAAAATTTAAAATGCATTTAAAGTTCAAAAAAATATTCAACATTGATCTTATCGGATAGATCTCGTCGAACACTATAAATTTCATATATAATTCGTGTTATAATTCTTTACTAATCAAAAGATACAAGGAACACAACAATATGAATGTGAAATAAGTTGGTTATCTATCTTCTCAAACTGGTTATCCACTATGTTCATGTTGATTATCCAATGCGCTAATACTGGTTATCCAATGGATTTACATGGTTATCCAAATTGTTTGAACTGGTTATCCAATGTGTTCATATTGATTATCCAATGCGCTAATACTGGTTATCCACTGTGTTCATGTTGATTATCCAACTTGTTTGTACTGGATATCCACTGTGTTTATGCTGATTATCCAACTTGTTTGTACTGGATATCCACTGTGTTAATTCTGACGGGCAGAATAGAGGTGGTTATCCATCTTCTTTTTTTTTTTGAAGAGTGAATGTCAAACATATGATTGGATAACAAGTACGAATAGAATGGATAATCAGTCCAAACTAGTTGGATAATCAGTAGGAACATAATGGATAACTATTTTTCAAAGAAAAACAAAAAACGCATTTCTTCATTTCTGCCCGTAAAATTTAAATGCATTTAAAGTTCAAAAAAAATATTCAACATTGATCTTATCGGATAGATCTCGTCGAGCA